CGGTACAGACCCGGGTTCGATTCCCGGCTGGTGCATATAGTATTTTTTCGTGAATCTAAATTAATATAAACACTATGAATGGTGAAAATTTTTGCACTAATCACGAAGCACCAGTGGTCTAGTGGTAGAATAGTACCCTGCCACGGTACAGACCCGGGTTCGATTCCCGGCTGGTGCATTTATTTGTATTTATTTTGTGAATTATCTACTCATACTAATTAATATATGCTCTATTTGCTCATTAGTTGGGATAATTTATTTTAGTTTTAATACAACCATCGTAATTTGTATCCTTTAATTTGTTTTAATGCAACCGCCCTAACATTCCATCGCGTTCTTATCACGTCTAAGTCGCTCTCCTACCGACGCAGAGACTTCTCTTCAATTGTAAACGGGACCCACATTAATAGCTTCAACGCTTGCAATTACGATTGTAGGTAAGAGTGGGGTAAGTCGGGCGAGGGTGTGGAATTCGGACTTTAATGCAAAGGATTTAATGCAAAACATTCATTCATTTACCCGCATTTCGACTTCATTGTGGTTTGACTCGGGACCCACAGTAACATCTTCGACGCTTCCAATCACGCAAGGGTGTAATAGATCCTTCTCGAAGCCCTCCCACACCACGAAATGGTCGGTTCAATTGCACGCTCTGCCACCACCTCAGCCACGTGCCGGGACTCAGCTTTCCGGGCCCCAGCGCATCGGGCTATCTGGACCGCAAGATGGGTGGACCATAGCTGGATCGACGGTTGAAAATAATTGCTGGTCCGGCGATACATGTATCTCTAAGCCCTTTGGATTAGATGGTTCTAGAAAAAGCGACGCCAACCGGGCGACGCTTATATGTGCGCCCTTCTCCCCTCTCCTCGATTTCTTCTGCGCCAGGGGAAACCTAACGAACGACGACGAATTGGTGGATTTCGATCAGGAGTGAGAGCTCGAGGAAGGGGTTGGGCACCACTTCGCACCATCTCTGTGGTTTCCTTGAGGTACGATCCGATACCTCCATATTTTTGGATCCCCTCGCGTTTTTTCGCCTGAAATCCTTGACCTTTTGCGATGCTTCGATCAATCACTTGCCCATTTCTCTCGATTCTCGTTAGCTGTTTTGTTTTCTGCTGCTTGATCCGTTCTTACGCTCTTGGTCAAACTTTATATCATATGGGCGGTCAAGTCGCTCTGTCTTACGGTTACCATCCCGTAGGAGTGTTAGAATTGGATAACAGGATCTGAATTTTGCGTGCGAAAAATGTGTTTTTCTTCGTCTTTCTTGGGGTCTTAATGACTAAAAATCGTGTATTGCATGCATTGGTGCAGAGATCCCCGTTTCTTTTCGTACCGGAGACTCTATTTATATATATAAAACATGAGCGTCGTGGGATTTGATGTCGGGAACGAGAGCTGCATCGTTGCGGTGGCCCGGCAACGCGGCATCGATGTGGTTCTTAACGACGAATCGAAGCGTGAGACCCCTGCCATCGTCTGCTTCGGCGAGAAGCAGCGGTTTATTGGGACTGCCGGCGCCGCATCGTCGACGATGAACCCCAAGAATTCGGTCTCGCAAATCAAGCGCCTGCTTGGTCGGAAATTTTCAGATCCAGAGGTACAGAAGGATATCCAGTCTTTTCCCTTCAGGGTAACCGAAGGGCCTGATGGGTTTGCGCTGATCCACGCAAACTACCTTGGGGAGCAGAGGGCGTTCACTCCGACGCAAATTCTTGCTATGGTTCTCTCTAACCTGAAGAGCATTGCTGAGAAGAATCTAAATGCAGCAGTGGTCGACTGCTGCATTGGAATTCCGGTTTACTTCAATGATCTCCAGAGAAGGGCGGTGATGGATGCTGCTACCATCGCTGGTCTGCACCCTCTCCGCTTGTTTCATGAGACTACTGCTACTGCATTGGCATATGGAATCTATAAGACGGACCTGCCAGAGAATGACCAGCTTAATGTAGCTTTTGTCGATGTGGGTCATGCAAGCATGCAGGTGTGTGTCGCTGGTTACAAGAAGGGACAATTGAAGATCTTGGCACATGCTTATGATCAGTCTCTTGGTGGTAGAGAGTTTGATGAAGTGCTCTTCAGTTACTTTGCTGCCAAGTTCAAGGATGAGTATAAAATTAATGTGTATCAGAATGCCCGGGCCTGTCTCAGGCTCCGCACGGCCTGTGAGAAGCTGAAGAAGGTTCTCAGTGCAAATCCAGAGGCTCCACTGAACATTGAGTGCTTGATGGATGAGACGGATGTGAGAGGCTTCATTAAAAGAGATGAGTTTGAGAAGATCAGCATCCCCATTTTAGAACGAGTAAGGGGACCTTTAGAGAAGGCTCTTTCAGAGTCTGGGCTGAGCGTGGAGAATATTCACACAGTTGAAGTTGTTGGGTCAGGGTCCCGTGTTCCAGCTATTATCAAGATTTTGACAGAGTTCTTCGGGAAAGAGCCTAGGCGTACCATGAATGCAAGTGAATGTGTTGCTCGGGGCTCTGCCCTCCAGTGTGCTATTCTGAGTCCCACATTCAAAGTGCGGGAATTTCAGGTACAAAGTTTTTTGCTTTTCTCTTTTATCGCGTGAATTTTAAATTTTAGTTTAATGCTAATCTGAAGTATTTTTTATTTATGTGCTAATACAATTTCCTCTGGTGGCTACATAGTGGTTTTTTTAATACTTTATCACTATAGCTCTTAACAGTTTATCACATTCTAGTTTATTATGTTTAACTTTGCACATCTTTTTTCTCATTATTTTTATTGTTAACGTTTGTTTTTTGGTTTAAGCTTATTGATTGGTCAACTGTTTGGAAATTTCTGGGATGGGCAAATATAAAATATTGTTATTTTATATATATATCAAAGGGAGTGGTCATCGAGAGTCGAGACACCTGATAACAAGACCACTGATGATCCATCTGGGTTGTCTGGGTACATTTAGGATACACATGAATGCATTTCTATATGTGATATGGACTGAAGGGAGCTTTCTATGTATTTTTTATAGTTGATGCTTCATATTTTGTTCTTTTTGACATCATACTTTTTTTTTTTTTGAAGGTTCATGAGAGCTTCCCTTTCCCAATAGCCTTATCATGGAAAGGATCTGGCACTGACTCTCAGAATGGTGGAACAGAAAAACAACAGAGTACAGTTGTGTTTCCAAAAGGGAACCCACTTCCCAGTGTCAAGGCTATTACATTCTTTAGATCTAGTACAATCACTGTTGATGCTGTGTACACTGACTCATCTGATGTGCAAGTTCCAGCCAAGATCAGCACTTACACGGTAATTAATTGACTTATACCAAGAATATGTTGGTAACTTCTTTTTCCGCTGGACGTGCTTACATTTTTTTTATTTTTATTTTTTTGGAGTGGAAAAAAAATATTTCTAAAAATTTTAAAAACAACTTCCATTTATTTCATCCCCTTGAGCACATGGTAGTGCTTGCTCGGCTCATAGATTTCTATGACAATTTTTAAATATTGTTTGGCAGATTGGACCTTTCCTGTCCAGCAAAGGAGAGAAGGCTAAGCTGAAAGTAAAAGTTCATTTAAATCTCCATGGAATTGTTTCCATTGAGTCAGCTACTGTAAGCACGGAAAGCATTGAATTGTATTCATTGACCTTTTTATTTACCTTTTACCATGAGATCATTTTATTTGTACAGATGTTGGAGGAGGAAGAAGTTGAAGTTCCAGTCTCAGCTGCAGTGGAGCCACCGAAGGAATCTACAAAAATGGACATGGACGAACTCACTAATGACGTCTCAAAAACTGAAACTGATGTAAAAATGGAGGACTCAAAGAATGCAGCTAATAATTCTTCTGGTGAGGTTGACACTGCAGTACCAGAGTCTGATGAGAAACCTGCACAGATGGAAACTGATAACAAGGTTTGTAACTTATACTTGTTTGCCTTGTGCTAAGCTTAGTTTTGACTTCTGGCCTAAACTTTTCGTGCCTATTTGGGTCAATATTTGTTTTTTCTCTATATGGATGTTCTTTTCCCTTAACATTCAAAGATATCTTGATCTTTTTCTTTTTTCTGTTAATTGATTTGTCAAGTTTAGCTTTTGTCCTTTGGTGACATGCACTTTCTTTCGTTCATCTTTTGTGAAATTCAAAGATAATTGATTTTACTCATGGTGGGCAACCTGGACCTTAGCATCTGCTATTGATAATCAGCGCAAAATTTTCAAGGCATATATTTTTTACTAAATTGTATCTTTCATTTTCCTAATTTTTTTAGCTAACAGAATTTTCATGCTCTGACAGGTTGGTAATGACTGCCACCTAACCTGGTTTCGCCATTATACTGGTTGCCTTCTAACAAATTTCAGGATTAGTGCATAGCATGCAAGATGCACATAATTAAGTTACCTGAATTTTGAAATTGCTGTTAAAGCATATTTCCATTAGAGATTTTTGCGTCACTATAGCTTTGCTCAACTCCTTATCAGAAAAGTTTGTAGTGCATTGTCTAAGAAATTCAATTTATCGATCAGTCTGCCGGGCCAATCTAATGAGTGGGTCCTTCACCAATGTGTGGGACTGGGGCAGGCCAAGTTGTTCAGCTTTACTGATGCTGAAATTGGTTAACCTGCTACGCATCTGAGCTCACACTTTTAAGTCCTCTTCAATATATGTCTGAAAGTTTTTAGTTAACTTGAGATGCATATTAAGGATCTTTGACTAAAAAAATATAATGTTTTGAGTAAATTAAATGTTTGAAGGCTGAGTGAATATCAAAAGATCAAGTGGGCCCTGTAATGTTTTGGTTGTTTGCATGTTTTTTAAAGCATTTTTTTTTGTGTTCTGGCTAATGCTTTCATTTAAAAGAAGCTGGAAATTGCAGAATCACTATCTTGTTTTGTTTTGGTTGTTATTTTAAAACTAACTTGGAATGTACAAAATCACTATTTTACTGATTTAGTCAATTACGAAGCTAGTGCCATCCTGGTGGCAAATCTAGTAGGTGATGTGAATAACTAGTATACTTGTGAATTTGGTGCTTTGACTCCGGTGCTTCTTTCCACCATATCATTGTGAGCTTAATGAGCTTCACTTTAATGGATAAACTGAAACCATATCCTGCTACTGAGATGTGTTTTTTCCCCCTCTTTTATACTGCTGATGGCAATTTTTTATTTCAGACTTAAAATACTTTTGTTCGTCTTCCAAGGTTTTGAAAATTGCTTTTTTTAAAATTAGATTCTTAAGATTGCATGTCCTTCAGGTTGAAGCACCCAGAAAGAAGGTAAAGAAAACTAATGTACCTGTGGTGGAATTGGTTTATGGTGGGATGTCGGCTGAAGATTTGCAAAAGGCTGTTGAAAAGGAGTTTGAAATGGCCCTTCAAGATCGAGTGATGGAGGAGACCAAAGAGAAGAAAAATGCTGTCGAGGCATATGTCTATGACATTCGAAACAAAGTAATATACATATCTCAATATTTCCATTGTGTTACAGATTTGCTGGCTATTATATAAGAACTAATAATTGATCTTTCATGTTCAGCTTTATGATAAGTATCAGGAATTCGTAATGCCATCAGAGAAAGATGAACTTATTGCAAAGCTCCAGGAAGTTGAGGATTGGTTGTATGAGGAAGGCGAAGATGAAACGAAGGGTGTTTATGTTGCCAAGCTTGAGGAGCTTCAAAAGGTACAGTATTTGCCTTAAGTCTCGATCTCTGAAAAAATGCTTCAAGATTTGGTGTGTATGGTGATCGTTTGTGTTGGTGCAGCAAGGTAACCCAATTGAGGTGCGTTATAAGGAGTGGACAGAGAGAGGTCCTGCAATTAATCAACTTGTTTATTGCATCCATAGTTTCAGAGAAGCAGCCTTGTCGAAAGATCCGAAGTTTGATCACATTGAAGTAGCAGAGAAGCAGAAGGTATGATATGTTTTCTCCACCTGCCAGGTTCTCTCTCTCTCTTCGCTCTCTCTCGGTAAAGTTATTAAAGTTGGCAAGAAATGGTTTTTTTATCATAGGCAGTAAAATACCTATAATCATGAAACTTTGGTTATTCGCTTCTTTTATTAATGTAATACGTGGTCTGTGTATTAAGTCTTTATTTCCCAGAGCAATAATATTCTCTATGCGTCTGGCACATGCTGTGTGTTCTTTGTTTGATAAATTGCCTTCTGCTTAGATGCTTCAGATATTATAATTTAGGTGCAAATATATAAGGGACTCGTGCATTGATGCTCTTATGCTATTTGTTTGATAGGTTGTCAGTGAGTGTAGCGAATCAGAAGCATGGCTTAGGGAGAAACAGCAGCAGCAGGATGCCTTACCCAAATATTCCACTCCGGTTCTTCTCTCTGCGGATATAAAGAGAAAGGTCGAGGCACTAGACAGGTGCAATTTCTCATAAGAAGTTAATCTTTTACTTACTGGCTGTGTTTTCAGTACATGTGTTCGATATTAATATCCGCCTGCTAGTCATTCATTCGTTGTCTTCCGGGAGTGTGTCTAACTTTGGCTTGAGTCGCTTGACCAGGTTTTGTAAACCAATAATGACAAAGCCACGACCTGTTCCAGCAAAACCGCAGACCCCACCAACTGCTGCACCCGGAGAGCAATCTCAAGCTCATGAAGGAGAGAATGCATCAGGGGAGCCCATGGCCGAAGAGGACAGTCATGCACCGCCTCAACCAGCCCCAGAGCCAATGGACACCGACAAATCGGAGACTGTACCTTCAGCATAGAAACATTGGTACCATGCTTGTCATTTAGCCTTCTACTCCAAAATCGTCTTCGATGTCAGCATTCTAGCAACAAGAGATGGTTTCTTCTTAAGGTCTTGAGTGCACGATTGAGATATTTCTCTAAGAATTGAGCCGATGTATTGAACAGAAAACCCTTGAGAGTCAGATCCGAACCCCCCACGAGAAATTTTTTTTTAGTGATTCATTGATGACGGGGAAGTGCAAATTTTGAGCAGCCCCTTTTTTCCTGTGTTTTCTCCTCCCCGAAACATGTATGACTAGTGATATTTCCCATGTCATAGTTAAGCTGCTTTTGCCACTGCTCATCTCCACCACTGTGCATTCGATATTGATTTCTTCTCTAATTTCAGGCTCAGCGGGAACATCCTCTGCTCCTCATCTATTAGTCCTGTGGCGTCATCACCACCATATTGCTATCAGGTTCAGTTCGTAACTTGATGTAGGCTTCATTATAAATCATTCAAAATTAGTATAATATATCGAAAAACAATAATGTAGGGTTAATTACCTACCATTGAGAAGATTACAATAATATCATTCATATCATCTCCCTATTGGTCTATGCCCAGTCAAAAAATAAACTGATTCCAAAAATTCAATTACATATTTGAGTGCCTAAAAGGGAATATTCAATTCAACTAGCGATACATGTTTTAATTATTTAGGAGCAAATGCCAGGGGTAAGTGATGACAGTGCTGAAGTCGAGTCTTTGGTTCTATAATAAGATATTTACCAACTTACCTAAAGTAAATTGTGATGAGATCTTTACCAACTGGTCTAACTAATATTTTAATTATTTTATTTTTTTAAAAAGATAAGTGGTGATCTTCCGAATGAAATGGATTGTATTAATTGAAAATAGCTCTAATCAATTTTTTTATTATTAATTTTTTTATCAAATGATACCCTGCTAATTACTTTTTACCTGAAAGTATTTTTTTTCTTTTGTCAATAGGATGAAAATGCCTCTATATCTTTCACCAAATGCCTCCGACAGGTGAGAAGAAGAGGAAAGAAAGGAAATAAGAAGAGAGAAGATGGGTATTATAAATTATTAAAAATTTACTTTTTCTGATCTACACTATTGGCAAGAAAAACCGTTTGGTGTAGCGACTTATGGCGGACACGACGTGTTTGACACGTGATTGTCACGTGCGAGATAAAGGCGTGGACCTTTTTTGAGTTCGGACACAGATTCTTTTAAGACGATAAATGTTCCGGACACTCACAACAGAGCCCCACCACGATACCCGGAATATCCTGACCCTCCATCACATGCTGGCCTTATCATCACCATACTTTCTTGTGTTCGCTTTTCTCTGCGCCCGGGTATTCGGTCTGGGTTTCGTCTTGGCCTTGACAAACGTACTGCTCGAACTCAACCCCGTGTCCCCTCGATGCCTCAACCCCAGCACCCCTTCCATCGCCCCGCAGCTTCGGTCTCGATGTCTCGGGTCGAAGACGCTCCGCCCAATCCCCAATTCCTCTACTCCTTGCCTCCTTCTCTTTCTGTTCCCAGCTTCTCCGGTTAGCTCGTTGATTCCCAGGAGCTGGTCCGAGCTTGTTGTTAGATTGGACAGGTCCGTTGCTCGGCATTGTTGGGGTTTGACCTCTCTGCATCTTGCTTGCTTCTTGATTTGGCGCCAAAGGTATCTACTCTGTGGCTGACAAGAGCTTGTTCGAGCTCTCGCATTCCGCCGAAATTTGCGGGGTTTAGGATGATGGTTAGGGTTTTCTGTCGAGTTCTTGCTTAGATATAGTAAAATGTGAATGAGGGGTCGAAGACATCGGAGCCAATGATTACCTAATTGATCTGTTTAACTATGTTCTAAGCCTTTGACTTTGTTGAGCGAGCTTCAAATTTTGCGGAGATGCATCTAGATCTGACTACAATATTGTTCATAGTGTGAGTTAAAGATTTGGCGGAGATAAGTCTGGATCTGATTATAATAGCATTGCTTGTTTGATTATGTTAGAGGAGATATGGAGGAAATAAATAACAAAGCGGATTTACATGGAAATGCCTTGCGGCCTCTAGCAATTCGAACGCCGGGAAGTATGAAGTCCACTTTGTCGGGGAAATCTACTCCTAGGAATTCTGCTCCCTACCGACGGTTGCATACTAATAGAACCCCTCGAAAAGATTCTAAGGCCTATTCCGGCAAGTTCAATTACATCCGAGGCAACAGTGTAGTGCTCTGGCTATTGCTCATAACTTTATGGGCTTATATAGGATTCCATGTGCAATCCAAGTGGGCTCACGGTGACCATCGGAAGGCAGAGCTCACTGGGTATAAGAGCAAGGCAGGTAGTGCTGACAAAATGGAGAGCACGGTAACAGCTGAAAATTTTAACAATTCTTCTGGTGAGAATCTTGTTGTAGTATTGGAAGGAAAGAACTTGACTTCGAAGAAGCTTGGTCATACTCTGGTCAAGAAATTGAAAGAGGTTTCATCAAAGCAAAATACTACTAAGAAGAGCAATAGAAGAATGGTACGTAGACTACGGAAGCTTGGGGGCAAGCTGAAAGGTGCAGTGGCGGAAGATAGAACTGGTGCGCTGGAGGAAGGTTTGATACCAAGAAAAAATACTTCATATGGGATGATTGTGGGGCCATTTGGCAAGTCTGAGGATAGAATTCTAGGTTGGAGTGCTGATAAAAGGAGGGGCACTTGTGATAGGAAAGGGGAATTTGCCCGCTTTGTTTTGTCACGGTCATTTGTGTTGATATTTCATGAACTGTCCATGACGGGAGCCCCACTCTCGATGATGGAATTGGCGACGGAGCTTCTGAGCTGTGGCGGTACCGTCTCTGCTGTTGTGCTAAGCATGAAAGGTGGGCTAATTACCGAGCTTGACAGAAGAGGGATTAGAGTACTTAAAGACAGGGCGCAGTTCAGCTTCAGGACTGCCATGAAAGCAAATCTTATTATAGCTGGATCAGCTGTCTGTTCATCCTGGATAAGTAAGAAATAGTCAAATTATGCATTAATTTATTAGATTCTGTAAGATAATACATTGAATTCTACTATCGTGCAATTTCTCTAGTTCTTTACATGTTTCTTTCCCTTTGTACTAATTGCTGCTGAAACATGAGTATGCGGTAAGTTCATAAATAAATTCTAGTACATCTTACAACTTAAGGGATTTGATGATGTTATTATCAATCCAAGTATAAAATAATTTATTTCATAAAATTTTTAATTGTTTTTCTCTAATCCAATAAATATGTTTTGTGTGTGGTTATCAAGTTTCTGATTTTCCTGACAAATCTACACTGCCAAGCTAATCACGAATGCTTGATTTTACTGTTGTAGACCAATATCTGGCACATTTTCCAGCTGGGTCAAGTAAAATCATTTGGTGGATCATGGAGAATCGACGAGGATACTTTGACCGGTCAAAGGATATGCTTAGCAGAGTGAAGATGCTGGCTTTCTTGTCTGAGTCACAATCAAAACAGTGGTTAACTTGGTGTGAAGAAGAACACATTCATCTAACTACGCAACCTATGATAGTTCCTCTTTCTCTAAATGATGAACTGGCCTTTGTCGCTGGCATTCCATGTTCCCTGAATACTCCAGCATTCAGCGTGGAAAGCATGCTAGAGAAGAGGAATACATTAAGAGCTGCTGTTAGGAAAGAGATGGGCTTGGGAGACAACGATATGCTTGTGATGTCCTTGAGCAGTATAAACCCCACAAAAGGTCAGCGATTATTTCTTGAATCAGCTCTTTTGGTGGCTGAACATAATGTTTCCCTGGAAGTGTTTGAGAAAAACAGGTCATTTGCTGAGAATTTTCCAGTAGTTACTCATCAGAACAAGACAATCATAACTGTTGAGCTTAATTCTAGCAGTATCTCACAGTCAATCAAGCAGGATAATGTCCAGCAGGGTAACACTACCAGTGCAGCATCTAAGAAGAGGAGGAGGAAACGCACAAAATTAGCAAATATACTTTCCTTGGGTAATCACACTTCTAACAGTCTGACAAGAGGAGATCAACGAAAACTAAGGAATTTGCTGTCTGATAGTAAGGGCCAAGAAGAGCAGCACCTTAAAGTTCTGATAGGTTCACTTGGATCCAAGAGCAACAAAGTGCTTTACGTAAAATCGATGCTGAGACTTCTATCTCAACATTCAAACCTATCAAAACTAGTGTTGTGGACACCAGCAACTACACGGGTTCCCTCACTTTATGCTGCAGCAGATGTTTATGTAATAAATGCCCAGGTGATACAGGATTACTTAAGATAACATGTCTGTACACCATGTATAATATTTGTTTGTGATGATAATCATTAACTTCATTGTTCATTTTTCTCTTCATTTTCACATATATCTCGGTAGAATCTCACTATACTTTTGATAATACTTAAACTTTTTTTTTTAATATTCAAATCTATGACATGGGCATTCTGTTCAATTTTTTCATTTTTTTCTCCTTTTATGTTCTTTGTTATAGTTCTAGGAGGATTTATGTAGATCTTTGTTATCTATATGTCTCTACTCATTAATGTTCATATCCTGGTAATCATTACACAGGTTCCAATTTATGTTCCGTTATAAATAATAATTCTCCTGTGATTTCTGCTTTGTCATCAACGAAGTCTCAAACTATGCCTTAGCATCTTCCTTTCTGATCTCATTTGTGATTCTTAGCTTCTCAAGTATTATGGATGTTCATGGTTACCCTAAGGATCTCATTTGTGGTTAACTTTGACCTAAGAAACATCCAGTGCCTTATTCATGCACCTGATCCTTTTTTAAAACACCTAAGTAAAGGTGCCATTAGTTCAGAAGTGATAAATCAAAACTAATGTTGTATACTTAATAGTGAACAATCATAAGTCAAGGAATCTTTCTGTATGTTCTAATCTCCTTGAGGATGGCCTTCTCACTAAAGGATCCGTGGGACAACCTTCTGCTATTATCTTTGTTTGAGCCAGATCCGATATCTCTGGACAGATATATTTAAATACTATGTAAAATTATAACCTCTTTTAAGACCAAATGTGGTATAAAAATTAAATTGGAGGAAATCTGTGAAACTGTCCAGCGATCTTTTGATGAATATGACAGTCACTCTTTCTCTTGATTGTGAAGCATAATACCTTGTTTCTCTACTTGTCATGTCTAGAATTTTGATCGCTTCACTATCAGCCCAGAAGGGCAAGATCAACATCCATGAGTTGTTGGATAGCAAAAGAAGGAAATGAATATACTGTTTGATGTAGGTTCCAAGAGTAGTCAAAAGCTGAAAACTTTTAATTTAGCTGCACATGATCCAAAATTTTGTATGTTGCCTATTCTCATCTCTCAAATTAAGTGTAGATGATTTGCTCCTTCCACCACGTTGCTGGATATTGTGTTCAGACAAATAGGAAAGAAATAAATAATTCTTCAATATCATTTCATCGAATGTCAGGTTTGTGCAGACTCAAAAAGATGGGACTTTATAGCTTGTTGTTTTTGTTGTCGTCAATTATTTGATGTACTATTTTTGTTGTTTTTGATTATTTCATGTAATATCGACTCCATTTTTATATTGTTTGATAACCATTTGACAATTTGGTATGTAGGGACTTGGAGAAACATTTGGGAGGGTTACAATTGAAGCTATGGCTTTTGGCCTGCCGGTATTGCCACTTGAAATCTTATTTTGTTTCTTACATTTACACTCTCATTCCAAATTTATTCTCAGTACCGGGTAATGTTTCTGTTGATTGATGACCTTGACATTTACGCTCTCATTCTAAAGTTGAATGCATATGTACTCAGAAGTAAACACCTTTAGATAAACATAAATTACTCAGAACCAACTTTTAGTAAAGAATCTTAAATTTCAAGGATAACTCAAGTTTATATCGATATCTCATGTTAAACTACTACACACCCTTCTTATGATCCCACCATAAAGCAAGAAAATAAGACTTGCCTTTTCACTTCCATTCAAGATTCAAGAACTTAATGCACACAAATCTAAGTAGGATCATGACTTCAATTGTGTTGCTTTACCACAATGCTAAATGCTGATAGATATGAGAGTGCAACTTACATTTAACTTCACATTGAGAAGAGTTGGTTACGCTCCATCCATTGGGCATGGAACATAATTTGTGCTAGACAGCATGATCATTCCCTTTTCTAATTCTAGGAAAAGCCAATATGAAGTCAAAAGAGAAACTTGTCAACAATTCCATATTGTTCCTATAGATGTAGTGCAGCTTGCATACAAAATGCAATAATCGAGGTCTGTCTTATATTCTTGGTAAGCAAATTTTTTCTCTATAAATTTTTTTAAAATTTTTTTTCTTCTTGTTGCCTGCGGAGCAGGTTCTTGGAACAGATGCAGGGGGCACTCGGGAGATTGTCGAGCACAAAGTGACCGGCCTTCTGCATCCAGTTGGGCAGCAAGGAATACAAGTCCTGGGCCAGAATATTCAGTATCTGCTGAGCAATCCATCAGCGAGGAACAAAATGGGAATGCTGGGAAGGAGGCAGGTGCAAGAGAAGTACTTGAAGAATCATATGTACAACAGATTTGCAAAGGTCCTCGCCAAGTGCATGAAGATCAAATAACAAGATTTATTGGCTTTCACCGTACTGCATTTTAGATCGGATGTGAGTTGCCACTGCACCTTGCGACTGGTGAGCCTGTTCAAACCTGTTGAAAATTTTCCATTAATCTCTTATTTATTTTCCGTTTCCATCTGATCCACAGAGGAAATTAATCCTTGATTCTGAGCTCACTTCATCTTAACAATACTGTGCGTCGATTGGATGCATTAAATATATAAATTGAGTTATTACCAGAAGGCTTCAAGTCTACATGACTGATCAGAAGTTTCCAGGATTTGCCGGAGCTCTCATCAATGATTTGCTGGTACGTCGACTGACTTAATAATTAAGAAAGTTAAATTATGCAAATGCTTGCCTTCGTCTCCTCCACTTTGGAGGAGCTTTGATGCCCTAAACTTGAGTTACAAACACTCTTTGTTATGTATTTGTTGAAGCTGAGAACATAAGACAGACCTCTATCAATATTGCACTTTTAGCACCTTGGCCTCATAAGCTGTCTTGTGCTCAGCTTAGTAGGGTTAGGAATCCCATGTTAGGTTTGTACAATGGCTCTGTAGATAGATGTCTACGGATCATATTGACACTGGATGCAGTTCACTGCACTGCTTGCTGATTCTAGTTGTTCTTTTCTTTCTGTTTGGTTCATTTCTTCTTCTACTTCTTCTACTTCTTCTTTGAAGCTACCTTCTTTAACCTCTCCCTCACATCCACTGCAGATGCATCTTCTTCTTGTGGCTCAGCAGCTATCTCATCAGGGCTTTGCTCAGCATCTAGACCATTAGGGTGTTGTTGTGGTTCTCTAGTGTCCTCGGAAAATTTCTCTTTCCTTTCTTTTTCTTTAGACTCATCTATGATGGAGAGGTGCAGTCTCCTTCCTGATTGAACATGAATCATTAGTCCAAAAATATTCGAGACTAGTTTAAATTTTTTTGCGAGCGATTATTCATAGAATAAAAAATATTTTAGCAAATTTTTTTCTCATAAGCTCTTGTCGAATGACTATAACTTTTATCATCTCTTCGAGCTTGTGTTCGGGGCATCGAGAACTCGGTGAAACGATCCTGATCGTCTCTGTTCTCTTCATCACCACCCTATCGAACCATGCATATCTAGTGAGCAACACCCATCATTAATAAATTTCATGCAATGTTTCATGTGTTACATAGCAATTAACTTTGAATTATACACAATCCCAATCAACATTCTAAAAAGAAGAAAAAAAATCACAGTGCCATCCATCCATGATTCTTACCAGGAAGGCTGATATCAACACACTTCCTTTGATTGAGTACTCTTTCTCTTCTCAGCATCTGGTCATTAGTCTCCGCGAAACCAAGTTGCTATCTTTCCTCCACAACATGCATCCTACGTATGATTACGTGGTTTCTTAGTGGTTAGTATGCGAATGCATGCGCTACCACATACATCGTGGATGGGGTTCGCCAGCTCCAGTGGCGCTCAGACTTGTCGACCATTCCCATCGCTCTCTCTCTCTCTCTGCTTTCCGATCACCACACATCCCTGACCATTTTGCCGGCACAGCATCTCCGTGGATCCATCGAAAGAGATGATGCTCTTGGAACCACAAAACGATCTCTCTTTCCCCTACTCAAGTAGTATCTGCTTGAAGACACATGTTTCTGTTGCCTCTCCTTCACACACAAGCCTCGTCCTTTTGTCTTCATGGATACCTCGGACACTCCACCACAAGTCGCAGAGATAAAAGCTCTTCTTCCTGCAGCTCTAAGAAAAGACCTTTCGTTTCTACGGCGCATACGCGTCGTGGCTGAGCTTCCACCGAAGAAAACCCTTAGAAAACCCTCACCCTTCGTTACGCCACAGATCCATGTGGATGAAGAAGGCCGCACTTAGAAAATGTTTAAGCGGATTATAACTTTTGGTATTAAGATCATATATGATTGATCGTATCGATTTTAGTCATCAACTTGACATCACAAATACTAAAAATCCTTTTCTCCAGAATGGATGAACATGTACTAATTTGATAGAGGGATTTTACTATATCATAAATCTTCACTCAATCCAACCAGCCGCATCGCATGACGCTATCATCAATCTCGACGATGAATGAAAAGATTTGATGCAAAATGGGTGGTGTTATTGTCGTGAAAATAGAACCTCAATGTATCTTCCAATCTCCAGACTGTATCCTTTTTGTCGTCACTCTACAGCCAAAGTGTACACAGACACATACACACATACACGAAGAAGAAAGGAAACGAGGCAGAAGAAGCGGCCGGTGAAACCCTACCGAGAGAGACCGAGGGAGGCGCACCGCGGACAGCTGGGAGCCACCCGTCGACTCAGCAGTCACGTGTGCGGAGGGTGCGCACCCGAAACCTCCTTTCGGCTACAAACGCGGTTTACTTTTTCGAGGCGGTCGCCACCGTAGATCTACCGCGATTGGATCCGCGGATGTGGGTCCTCTCCCCCAATACTAGATCTGTTGACCGCCAAACCTCCCGCCACCTGGACTTTTTTTGTCTCGTTTAGGAAGCCCGGAGCGCGGTTCCTCCGCGGGCCCCCACCCCTACGTTGCCCGGGTCCCCCTTTCCCCCGTCTATTTCTCTCCCGTGCGCGACGCAGCGCTTCACCCGCGCCGTCCTCGCTCCGTCTCTCGCCTCGCTGTCATCCCAGGAGAGGGAAGAAACCGAGAAAGAAAGAGGCGAGGAGGACGAGGAGGAGGAGGAGGAGAAGAGGGGATTCCCCCTCCTCGTTGTTCCTTCCTCTCTCTCTCTCTCTATCTCTATCTCTCTTTTCGACGCGCTTCCGGAGGCATTGCGTCCTCACGTTCTCCTCGTCCTGCCCAAGAGAGACTGCAACAGGTCGGTGCTCATTCGGTTTCCTCCCTCCCCGATACCGACACTAGTATTGGTTATTTGAGTTATCTTCGGATTCCATGATCTGTCCTCTGCTTTGTTTTCATGGTTTCATGTTCTATATATTCTCTGTCCTCTGAGACATCCTCTGCGGATTCCTTCTTTTAATAAGGCAGCCGTGCCTGCCATTAGGATTGCTTCCGGTGTTTGTCGCGTTGCTGATCTTGATACGTGCTCTGTCCAGGAATGGCTCAACTCAAGACTCCCTTGGGGGGGATCATCAACGATGTCAAAGGAAGAGCCTCGTGCTACAAGCAAGACTGGATCTGCGGATGTCACTCGGGCATGAGGTACGATTGCATCTTTCTATCCATCATCTCGATCTCTATTATTCATCGGATTATTTGATCTTCAGCATATTGGCTCCAACAATGTACATCTTCTTTGCCTCCGCACTTCCTGTCATCGCCTTCGGAGAACAACTCAGTAAAGACACCGGTAGGCACTCTTTCCCATTGGATCGATACGACTGCCCCCATCGGTACCTCTAAGCCGTCGACCTTAACCTGTCGCAGATGGAGCTCTGAGCACCGTCGAAACTTTGGCTTCTACCGCCATCTGTGGCATCATACACTCCGTCATCGGCGGGCAGCCAATGTTGATCGTGGGAGTCGCAGAGCCTACCGTGATAATGTACACGTACCTGTACAGCTTCGCTAAAGGACGCGAAGATCTGGGAGGGCGTCTATACTTGGCCTGGGCAGGATGGTAATGTTTGATTCAGATCAGGCTATCTATGTTTCTTGTTGCTTAACTCGGTTTTCTTTGCTGCTTCCAGGGTCTGCGTGTGGACTGCTGTTATGCTATTTCTTCTCTCAATTTTCAATGCTTCTGCTATCATTAGTAGATTCACAAGAATTGCAGATGAACTCTTCGGAATGCTGATCACAGTTCTGTTCTTCCAAGAAGCTATTAAGGTGCGCGCGCGTGCGTGTGTTCTCAGATTAGCTATATAAGGATCATCACTAACACAGGATGTCACAGGGGGTCGTAAGTGAATTCAGAGTACCCAAAGGTGAAGACCGAACTCTACCAATCTTCCAGTTTGAGTGGCTGTACACAAATGGGCTGCTGGGGATCATATTTGCTGCTGGTCTTCTTCTTACCGCAATAAAGAGCAGGAGGGCGAGATCATGGAAGTACGGCACAGGTGTGTCATCGTTTTGATTGCTGCACACACGCGCGCGCGCGCACGCACAGAGAGATTCTGAGAAGTCTCTGCTTTTGGATGCAGGGTGGCTCAGAGGTCTTACCGCGGACTATGGTGTGCCTTTGATGGTCTTGTTGTGGACGGCCATGTCATACGCTGTCCCCAACAAGGTTCCTTCTGGAGTTCCAAGGAGGCTCTTCAGTCCTCTTCCATGGGAAGCCAAATCTTTGTACCATTGGACTGTTGCAAAGGTAACAATGCATCTTCTCATCACAGCTTGCAAGGATCAGAGCAGTAAGCTCTCTAATTTGTTTGCCGGATGATCTGCAGGATATGCTGTCTGTTCCTCCGGTATACATCTTCGCTGCCATCATACCTGCATTGATGGTCGCAGGACTCTACTTCTTCGACCACAGCGTCGCCTCCCAGATGGCGCAGCAGAAGGAGTTCAATCTGAAGAAACCCTCCGCCTACCACTACGACATTTTGGTCCTCGGCTTCATGGCACGTTTACCATCAACTCTGTTCTTCTTCCACCGTCGTAGATGCATCGTACTTCTTTCTTGACGTTCCGTTCCCATCTCAGGTTCTGGTTTGTGGGTTGCTCGGAATCCCCCCTTCCAATGGCGTCCTCCCTCAGTCCCCCATGCACACCAAGAGCCTTGCTGTCCTCAAGAGGCGGGTGGGTGGATCTGCTGTCTCTGTTGCATCCGGAAACAAGCTTCTCTAATGTCTGCTTTGTTCAGATAATCCGCAAGAAGATGGTGGAGACTGCCAAGGAGAGCATAAGGCAGCAAGCGACCAACTCGGAGATGTATGGGAAGATGCAAGAGGTGTTCGTCAAAATGGACGAGGGGTCTACGGTAATACAACAGCTCTTGCAAGATTCGTTAGGATTCAGTGCGATTTACCGGAGATTTCGTCCCGTGCAGAGCATCTCGATCGATAAAGAACTGAAGAACTTGAAGGACGCAGTCATGGGCAACGGCGCCGGCGGAGACGATTCCAAGGGAGCGTTCGATCCGGAGAAGCACATCGACGCCCACTTGCCTGTTCGGGTCAACGAGCAAAGAATGACCAACCTCCTGCAGTCCCTGCTCGTGGGTGCTTGCCTCGCAGCCATGCCCGTCATCAAGATGATACCCACATCCGTCCTCTGGGGTTACTTCGCTTACATGGCCATCGA